CCTGCCGGTGACACCTGGGCCAGGTGTGGCACCCCCAGACTCACCTGATTAACCCCTAATTAATTACACCCCCTTAATTACCCCCCAATTAACCCTGAACCCCCTTAATTACCCCAGACCTCTATTAATTACCTCCCTAATTAACCCCCAGCCCCTTAATTACCCCAGACCCCCGTTAATTACCCCCCTAATGAACCCCCAGCCTCTTAATTACCCCAGAACCCCCCTAATTAACTTGGATCCCATTAATTACCCTCCCTAATTAACCCCCAGCCCCTTAATTACCCCGGACCCCCGCTAATTACCCCTCCCAATTAACCCCAGCCCCCTAATTACCCCCTCAGCCCCTTAATTAACCCCCTAATTAACCCCCAGCCCCCTAATTACGCCAGACCCCCGTTAATTACCCCCCCTAATTAACCCCCAGCCCCTCAATTGCCCGGCCGGAGTTAATTAGCGCGTTAATTAGCGCTAATTAGGCACCCACCGAGCAGCGCCAGCAGCGCCCCCAGCGCCGCCGCCATCTTGGCTCGGCCAGGTGTGGGCGGGGCCGGAGGGGGCGGGGCCGGCGCACCTGGGCACGCCCACTTCCGGGTTAGGCCACGCCCATCGCCTTATATGGAAGTGGGTCGGGAAAATTGGGGGGAAATCGGGGAAAATCGGGGAAAATTGGGGAAATTGGGGAAAATTGGGGAAAATTGCTGGAAATTTGTGGGAAAAATGGGGAAAATGGGAAAAAATTGGGAATAAATGAGGAGAAAAGGGGGAAATTGGGGAAAATTGGGAAAAAATTGGGAAAAATTGGGAATATTTGGAGGAAAATTGGGAAATTGGGGAAATCGGGAGGAATTGAGGGGAAAATCGGGAAAAAGTTGGGGAAAATTGGGAATAAATGGGGGAAAGTGAGAAAAAAGGGGGGAAAGTGGGAAAAAATGGGGCAAAAATGGGAAAAAATGGGAAAAAATGGGGGAAAGTGGGAAAAACGGGAAAAGGGGGAGAAGGGAGGGAACAATGGGAGCCACGGGGGGGGG